TATTGACAGAGGAATAGCAAAATAGAGCTGTGTTTGTTCACTGTAGTTTAGTGGATATAATTTCAGGATCTGATGAGAAACTATATGTACCTACTTGTCAGAGTCCTTTGCTTTATAGTAGCCAAATATTTACTTACTTTTAAGTTTCCTATACTGACTCTGGTATTAAAGTATCTGGTAATCTATGTATCTAGATCTATACCTATATGTATATTTGTCAGAGGACTTGAATACTAGAAAACTAAAGCAAAAAGATAATAATGCTCTTTTTATGGTTAGTCTTTATTTGCTCTATTAAAAAATTATGAGTATTTTGTGTGAATGTATGTCTGTATACCTAGTGCATGCCTTGTACTCATAGAGGCCAGAGAGGGTGTTGGATCCCTTGGGACTAAAGTTATAGTCAGCTTTTGAGCTGCTGTGTAGGTGTTAGGAATCTAACCCAGATCCTGTGGAAGAGCAACCAGTGTTCTAAACTGTTGTGATCTCTCCAACCCTTATTTGTTATATTTAAAAAAAATATTTTTAAGTTTTTGAAAACTTCACAGAATGTATTTGGTTATACTCACCCAAACTCTGCCCGGATTCACTTCCACCAACCAATTTACCTAAATTCATACCACCTTTTTATTTTTTAACCTATCTAGTTGAGTTGGTACTGCTCAAATACTCTTTGAGTGTGGGGATATCTCCTAGACCATGGTCAGCCTGCCAGGGGGAAGCATTTTGAAGCCTAAATTACTTCTTTTTCATGTAGCTCTTTCTTATTATTTAGAAATTCGTCAAATACTCTGATTGCTTGAATATGCTGTCTAAGAAACCTCTTGCTTTTTTGAAATGGGACTGGAATTCGCTGGCCCTTTCTAAGGAAGTAGAGCTTAGACTTGTTGATGTGTCGTTAAGTGTACTCAGGTCATATGACTGTATCTAATTCGGCCATTGCACTTGAAGAACCTGTATTATTTGAGGGTTTTTGCAAGCTGAAGAAAGATCTGATGCCTATTTAGCACTCCTGTAACATGCCTGCTTCTTCAATGTGAGATCATCAGAGGCAGCCTTATTGTTTGCATATGTGTACGACACTTTCTGGGTGTGAAATTTGTGAACAGAGAAATAGGTGCACTGTGCTCAGTAGACCACGGCTGTCAGTGTGAGAACATGCTTGAGTGGTGCTCCAAGTCGACTGCAGCTAGCTAAGCCGTAAGGAGATAAGGGTCACAGAACACAGTGATCTCCTGTCTTTGATGCTGTTGACCTCCCCAGTGTTTGGGAGGACGGTAATGGTAGCAGCATTACGTGCTACCCAGCACTGAGGGAATGAAGGAGCAAAAGCCTCTAATAACATTTGGGAAGGTATTTGTATTTTTATTTCTATAATTTTTGTTCAGAATATCAAGCTGGGACAATCTATAATGTTCCAAATTTTAAAAAATGGAGATTTTGGGTATCTTAAGCAATTTGATTGAAAACAATTACATTTTTCCCCTTAAAGTTCTACTTCATATTTAATTTCTATTAGTAGCTGGGGGAAGTTGAGTGAAATAAAACATTTATTTCTTTCTGGTATTTGAATCTACAGATTTATGATTGAAAATTCTACATTGTGAGGAATGTCAAGATTCTTCACTTTAAGATCTGCAAGCCCCTTTCAAGTGCCTTTAGTCTGGTTATTTTATTTTTGGAATAAGGAAATCTGATATTTTTTGTTATATATTGGAACAAATTCCATTTTAAAGGAAATACAGTCTTAAGTATTTCTGCTGAGTAGATTGCAATAGCTTACATTTAATTAAAAACTCTTAAACTTAAATTATAAAACTCCCTGAAGAGAATCTGATCCTTGATCTGTTACCTATGCATCATAGCAACTATGTTTTGTGTCTGGTTACAGAATGACTGCAAGACTTGTGCTATGTCTGCAAAATTCTGCTGTGAAGTACTTAAAAATACTTGGTGAATAGTTTAAGGCCAGTTAGCCATAAAGCCTTGTGTGAAATGTCATTAAAAAACCCATTAACCACGGTACTAGTATATTCAATCAAGCTGTTAAAATACACTCACATAAACATAGAAAAGATTATACATGCAGCCTACAGAGTTCTGTGGTTTGACCCTTGAAATCTAAATAAAGGTTATATTATCCTTAGAGTAAAATTCTGAAACAAAGCAGTCTTCTATGAGGGCTCACTCTTCTAAGGACCTGGGTGTCAGTCACTCTGTTAAGTCATTTCTTTTAGTGTGAAATTGAGCAGATCACTATTGTGCAATGAGACGGGACTTTGACAGTAACTCAGGTGTCCCCTCCCCCACCATATGCCACAAAGAAACTTTACTGGTTTGCCATAATTATAGCTGTTACAATTCTCTAATAATATGTGTGGTGAGTGGGGGTGGTGACAGCAAAGAAGGGTGGAGGGGTAATTTTAGAGAATGAATAAACAAAGAAGACCAAGTAGGATTTGATGAGTTGTGAGAAATTATTGATGGCAATTCAGGTCATGTGGAAGCAAAGAAGTCACCCACGCATGCATACTGTAGATAGGTTTTACATAAATCCTGCCCCTGTTCATGAAATGTTGAAAGTATGGGACAAACCAGATATATACTGATAGAGTAAAGTGAAAAAAAATGAAAATTCAAAACCCTAAGTAGTTACCATTTTCCCATCCTCAAACCAATGTTAAGACATCCAAGAAAACTCTTTGTAAGTTGACATAGCCTCAACAACCACCACTGGTCAACTTGTGAGGGCATTCTTTTCAAAAGAAGGAAATAGCAACTTTTACTACAATACTGCACCTTTGTTTTAGGGGAGTTTTACTTAATAGAGAAATGTCTAGGAATCCATATAACATGAAGACTGTGGTTTGCGTACTACATTAGGGATTTCAGGTGCTTTTGTCACACAGAAAAGCACATGGCATGATATATGTAGTTTGTTTTCCTATGTTAATCACTACTATCCATAGATATATAGTAAACCTAAAATGCATCCCGTGACTTCAGCTGCCAAGAAAAAAAATTACAGAATGAGCATATTATATACTAGTGAAGGAGCACGTGAGAAACTCCTGAGAGTGGGAGCCATTTAAGACAGGTACTTTTTGAAACTCTACTTCAATTTTCATGAATGTATGCTGAAGTTATAGCTTAATCTGTTTCTTATTTAGCTATATTCAAATAGTAGTGATGAGAAGAAACTATTTGACATTGTATTTAAAGAGACTCATGTGCAAAGGCATTTAAAATGTGTCTTTCACATGCTTTGAACATTGTGTTTATATTTGCCTTCTCACAGGACAAAGTGTATCTTTATTCATACTATAGGAAGTCTTTACTGTATCTTCTTTTAAAGCTTACAATGGTCACTATAAGATCAGAGTAACAACTAGTATTGGGCAGACATCATTTTAACATTGCTTTGGTAAAAGCCTAGGCATTTAATCATTTTCTTCAACTTGGGGTTAAAGATTAGTTGCAATGTATATGTCGGAGAAGCTTGTAATTGTTATGACTTTTATATTCACTAGAATCAGGCATTGATCTAATAATAATTATTAATAATTTTTAATCATTTGACTACCCATATGCCTTAGTTTCTATAAATGCAACCTGAGTGTATAAGTTAGAATGAATGGAGATATAAGAAAAATGTTGACACACATATGCAGAGTTTGCCTTACTAGTTCAGTCAGTGTTGTGCTGATGCACATTGGGGACTGGGGGAAAAAGTTCATTTTGATTGTTCTCAACGAGATTTTTCTCTTTTCTTATTGGATGTTGAATAGCGATGCCTCCCAATGTGGAAGAAAGCAGCTTATAAGAGTTGCAGTCTTACAGAAAAGAATGTTTTCTCGTTTAGAGATAAGTTTGCAGTGGCAGAGTTGGCTCCGTCATATGTGTTCCTTTTGTATGATTCTCAAGCTTTCCCCAAGCCTGTGTGTCAGGGAAAGCTAATTCTACAGCAGCATTCCTCTTGCAGGTGGTAAGGCTTGTTATCTTCCATTGCTTGGTGTCTCCAACAGCACCATTTTTCACTCTGATGACACTGGAAATTGAGCATCTGCAGTATCAAGACTGTCACAGATGGCTGAATATCATTCTGGTGTGGGTGAAGCCTCCAATTCTCTTTTCCTAGAACCTTGGGCTGTAAGTTTTGTACTTCTGGCAGCAAAAACATCATCTGGGCTTAGTATTTTGTGCCATGTGACATTGAGTCCAAAGAATGGTTTCATGTGTATGACTTGAAATATGTAACTAGAATATTTACATATGGCATCAGCATTGTCCCTGGTGAGATGTCAAGAATAAAATCAGTCTGGCTCTGGCACATGTTATAAAAGACAATGATGTACAGGAGTGAAGGGTTCCTCCTGGTCTTTTCAGAAAGACATGTACCAGTCCCTCCCATCTAGGGAGTCCTGGCTTTGATGTATCAAGGCTCCTTTCTCATTGCTTCAGGAAATGCATGTGACCATTGCATTATAAATGGGATAGAAGCAAACTTTACTTTCTAAAAATGGACACTTGGGGCAGAGAATGAAAAGGCCAGAAGGAATCCTTTCTCCTTTCTTACTGAATAGAGACTAATCTTTTTTAATGTCTGGAACAAGGACCAATGATTTCTACATATGGTCTGGTGAAATGGTCTTAATTTCAGCTTTTTTTTTTGCAGCTCGCAGCATCACCAATGGTGCATTGCAGGACTAAAATGTCTATGTCATTTCTCTTTTCACTGTAAGAACCCTGTTGTCACCTTAAGCATATTGAAGTGTTTTGATGATTTGTTCCTATACTCTAAAGAAGGAATTTTTCTTCTTATTGTAACTAGACAGCAGAAAATTTGAAGAGCAAGAACCATTTGCCGCAAGGTGATTTCACTTAACTCGTAAAGATACAACGTCTCCTTTGTCATGTGTATGAGTGTGACCAGCCTGTCTTCTGTCATACCCTGTCAAATCTTCCATTTAAGTATTGTGAAAACTCTTTGTTTCTTTCAGGTCGAATGAGTGATATGGTTGTGAATGGTCATCCAATAGATTCAGAGCCTAAAGAAGATGAACCATGTAGTGAAGAAACAGATCCATTGCATGATCTGTTTGCTGAAATTTTACCTGAATTACCAGATTCCTTTGAAATAGACATATATCACACTGAGGAAGATGAAGAAGGAGATGAGGACTGTGCAAATGCAACTGATGTCACAACGACTCCCTCTGTGCAGTACATCAATGGGAAGCATCTTGTCACCACGGTGCCCAAGGACCCAGAAGCTGCAGAAGCTAGGCGTGGCCAGTATGAAAGTGTTGCACCTTCTCATAATTTCTCAGACAGTTCTGCAGTTGACACCCATCAGTTTATAATAGCTGAAACAGAATTATCAACTGCCATGCAATTTAACAAATCCAAAGAAGGCACCGAATTGCTAGAAATCACGTGGAAACCCGAGACTTACCCTGAAACACCTGAACACTTTTCAAGTGGTGAGCTTGATATTTTACCTACAATCTCATCCCATGAGGGTAAAAATACCAAATGGACAGAGTCCATCACAGAGAGCAGTCCAAACCCGGAGATTCTAGAGCGCCAAGAGCCTAAGCCTATACTTTTGTCTCCTGAAGAGTACTCAGGAGAGGGTGCCAATGACCAAGCATCTCAAAAAACAGTCTTCTCTGGGGCTACAGAAGTAGAATTCAGCAAAGAGGAGGAACAACATCCTACCATATCTACCTCTAATATACTTTCAAGATCTGTGTCAGTAAATGCTTTGGAAGAAGAACCAATTACCCTAACAAGAATCCCACAGGCTGATGACTCTTTGTCTACTGCGGAAAGCTGGGTAGAGACAACGCCTAGACAACCTGTAGAGTTCTCAGGGAGTTTTTCAGCCCCTGTTATTGAAGGGTCTGGGGAAGTGGAAGACTATAAAAATAAAATCTTCACCATGGTAACTGATTTACCACAGGGAAATCCTACAGATACACTCATCCCTTTGGATATGAGCAAGGTAATGATCACAGACAGCCATTTATATAGTCCTGAAACCACCACTCCTTTGCATTCAGAGCTATCTTCTACAGATGGAAGGCCTACACAATTTGTAATTCAAACAGATGCTTCTGAGTGGGTTTCCAGTATATCTTTTGAAGGAAGGAAAAGGGAAGAAGATGAAGAGAAAACTACAACTGCAGGTCCCATCATTGAAGTCCAATCTCCAACACAGAGGTCAGATAACTTAATTGTATCTCCAGTATTAGAAAGCTCAAATGTAGCTGTGTCTAGGGATTCAGTTACCTGGGAAAGTTTTATGCCAGAGACAACGCCCACATTGTCAGAAAAGGAAATGGCAAATTCCACTCTTGTTTCTAGAGAAACAAATGATTTGATCAATTTGGAGGCACAGCCCTTTAAACATAGTACCAGTCAGCCCCAGATCCAGGAAACGCTGCCTACTCTCTCAGGATGGCTCCCCTCTCATTCTATGGAACAGGGCTCAGGAGATATTGGAGCTGGTCCAGAATCCATGACTGCTTCATTTTTATTGAATTTGGAGTCTGAAACCCAAGTGAAAAAAGAATTACCTAGTGTTCTGCCTCCCAGTGTGGAAGCTTCATTTCCCTCTGAGGCAACAGGATTCTCTCTGAGTACTGTATTGGACAGAGTTGCTGAAGTTATGAACCAGGCATCTAAGGAAATATCGACTTCAGAAGTATCAGGAAAGCCAACCCCCCAGGCAGAAGTAAGGAATTTTTCTACAGGTTTTCCCTTGGAAGATGATTTCAGTGGTGACTTTAGTGAATTTTCAACAGTGTCTTATCCAGTAATGAAAAAGGAAAGAGTGGAGACGGGAGTCTCTGAGAACGAACAAGTTAGGGATATGCAGACTTCATCATCTATACCACCTACCTCAGATGACATCAACTTCATTCCTGCCTCAAATGAACTCACCAGTACTATGGCCAGCACCTCAGCCTTGCCCTGGGAAGAGTTCATGGCCTCAGCTGAGGGCTCAGGTGAGCAGCTGGCCTCAGTCAGGAGTTCTATTGGTCCCGTCCTTCCCCTTGCTGTGGACATTTTTTCTGGTACAGAGTCTCCATATTTCAATGAAGGGGTTCAAGAAGTGGGTACTGTGATGGAAGCAGATGAAAGATCCATTGTTTTGCCAACAGCAGATACTGGAAATAGTGCAGATCTGACAGAAAATGGGGACATAAAGATAAATGGCACAATTTCAGTGGAACTTCCCCAAACAATGGAGCCAGCCAAATTATGGTCTAAACAGGAAGTCAATACTATAGAACAAGCAATTGAAAGTGAAATGGCATCCAAGGAAAAAGTGCAAGAACAAAAGACTTTTGAATCTCTCCACAGTTCTCTTGCACCAGAACAAATAATTTTGGAATCCCAAATACTAATCGAAACTAAACTCCAAACTTCAGATTACTCTATGTTAACAACAATGAAAACACCCACTAGTAAGGAAATGGAGGAGGAAGACATGGCCATAGCTCATAGGACTACTCTAGATCCAGAGATAAAAGGTTCAGAGTCATATATTATTAATCCTGAAGCCACAGAGAAGCTACATTCTTTCCCAGCTACTGCTTTAGTGACTGAATCTGTACCAGCTTCAAGTGTAGTCATGGATACCTCAACTCAAGAGGAAGAAAGTATACAAGTCTTCGAAAAGGATATGAAACAAACATTTAAAGAGTCAAGCCCTGATGTCTCATTCTCTGGACTGGGATCAGGGGATGCCTTGTCTCCTCTACCTACAACATCAGTGAGTTTGACTGAAATGGAGCAGATCATTAGCACATTGTATCCTGAGACATCTCACATGGATAGTTTAGAAACAAACATTTTAAGTGATAAAGTGGAAGATGATGAAAGAATACAAAATGGGTCAGATGAAGTCAGAACACTCATTTCCAAAACAGACAACATCTCTCAAGATAATAAGGAAACACCCAACACAACTCTGAGTGATGCTAGAATAGAAGGACCTACTACTTCCCCTCTTCCTTTCACCAAACACATGGACATGAGGCATTCTCCAAATCAGACCTTCAGATGGGAACAGAAAATCCAGTCACCAAGACCACAAACTGTGACTGAACAGATCTCTAGTGAGAATCCTTCAACATTAGAACCTGAAGCAGCAGCAACCTCTTCCACTATTTTTCTGGATCAAACTTACAGTATCGAAATGACCAAAGCATTTGTTGCATCAGCATCAAAACAACCTGATTTCTTTTATGCAAATTCTGGAGAAGGATCTGGAGAAGTGGATCCTCTTGATTTAATGTACACCTCTGGACCTACTCAGGCAACCGATCAAGGAGACAGCACATTTACTTCTGATGAATTCCTGGAAAAGCATTCAGTGGCGTCAAGAAATGAGGCCAGATCTACTGATGGACCAACATCCTCAGCAATGGTACTGCATTACTCAGAGTACAGTGAGAGCTCCCTGTATCCAACTAGCACACTTCCAAGCACAGTGCTATATGAGAGTGCCACAGAAGGTATTGCAGATGGCCTGCAAGACCACATCAGATTTGAAGGTTCTGCCTTGAAACCTAACGGAAGAAAAACCACTGAAAACATTATTATAGATCTAGACAAAGAGGATAGTAAGGATTTAGGATTGACAATTACTGAGAGTGCTGTTGTTGAAATTCTCCCTGAGCTGACATCAGATAAAAACATTATTATAGACATTGATCACACTACACCTGTATATGAGTACATCCCTGGAATACAAACAGACTTAGATCCAGAGATGCCATTGGGATCACATGGCAGTAATGAAGAAAGCCTTCAAGTTCAAGAGAAGTATGAGGCCGCTGTTAACCTTTCTACAACTGAGGAAGCAGTTGAGGGCTCTGGCAACGCACTTCTTACTGGCTACACTCAAGCAATGAAAGAGTCTGTAAGTTCTGAGGCTGGAAAGCAGGCAGAGCATGCAAGCTTTAACTTTGTAACTGGAATCCCAGTTCCTAATGTAGAAACAGAATTAGATACTTTGTTTCCCACAGTGTCAACCCTGCACATTCCTAGTAAGCTAACCACAGTTAGTTCAGAAGTTGAAAAACCCAAAATTGAAGCAGTATCTCTGGATGATATATTTGAATCAAGCACCTTGTCTGACAGTCAAGCTATTGCAGACCAAAGTGAAGTACTGGGACATTTAGAAAGGAAACAGGAAGAATTTGAAGTAAAGAAACATGGAGGTCCTTCTTTCCAGCCAGAGTTCTTTTCAGGAGCGGGGGAGCCACTGACAGGTCCCCCTGCTTATGTAAGTATTGGTAGTACCCGCATTGTGGCTCAGCATTTGACAAAAATCCCTGATTTGACAGGAGAGCCTGACTCCACACATTACACTGAAACAGCATCTGCAGTTTTCTCTCTGGCAGAGTTGTCTTCCCAGACACCCCCTTCTCCCTTCCCTATCTACATAGACAGTGGAGTCTCTGAATACCCAGTGATTCCCCACACAAGTGCTCAGCAGGATCCTAGTGCTGCCTCATCACAAAGACTTGTAGATGGCAATTTTAAGGAAGTCCGTGCTAATATGGAAGCTACCATCGAGCCATCTGGTGAAGATGTCCACAGAGCCGAACCTCCATTTTTGTTTCCTGAGCCTACATTAGATATTTCAGAAGATGAAAATAAACTTCAATTATTAGAAGAACTAGAAACTTCTCCCACAGAACTAATTGTTGAAGAAGAAACTGAGACATTCCAAGATTCCCCAAACAAAGCCAATGATCAACTTGTAGGAGAAACAATTGGAATGCCCCCCAGTGTCAGAACACTGGAGAGTGGACCTGTCCTTACAGCTGCAGGTGACATTGATTTAGTAGGTGCTACACAGGGGCCACATTCTACTTCTGCTTCTGTGGCTTTCAGGGTTGAGACAGGTGTGGTTCCTCAGCCCATCCCACAGAAGCCTGAAGAGCCTACCTTTCCTTCCTTGGAAATTAACCATGAAACACACACACCTTTAATTGGAGAAGACTCCATAATAGCAGCATCTGAAAAACAAGTGTCAAAAAGAATTCTTGATCACAGTAATCAGGCAACAGTCAGCACCCTGGAGCTGAATACTGCACATTCAATACCACCATTTCCCATTCTGGACAATTCTAATGAAACTGCTTTCCTGATTGGCATTAATGAAGAGTCCGTGGAAGGCACAGCAGTTTATCTACCAGGTAAGATGGCAACACTGATGCATCTGTTTCCAAGGCTGGGATCAGTCCCTTGGTTCTAACTTGTACCTGTGTAATGTGAAATTCATAAAGACTTTTATATTGTTCAGGACAAGCCACAGTAGTGAGTCATAACATGATGCAGTGATGTAAGTAGAAACATTTCTGTACTTTACAGACATACTTTGCATTTTTTCCTGCGTCTTACAGATAACATGGACTGGTAACATACAGTTGTAGCTAAAGTGAAATAATTGTCTAAAACTCAATGTATTTTCATCTACAGCTGAAATATTGCCATGTCGTATGTCCTACAATTATACATCATAGCTGTAAAAATGCGAAAAAAATCAGACTTTTATTTTTTACAAATGCTTTCATTTATGAGATGCTATTATGATAGTGCCACAATCTATCAGGCCTTTAACATTTGAGAACAGTAACTGTTCCTTACAAACGCCTTGTTGTAGGTATGATCAACCACAGTGGTTCTAGTGTGATTTCCTTGCTTGAAACAGTTTACACAATTGCAACTTAGCTCTTAGTCATAGTGTATTTAGCATATGTTTGCCTTCTACCTCTTGAGAAATTCTCATTTATATACTGACTATAAAAAAGCATAAATTTGATACTATTTCATATAGACAATTTCATTTAATCATCAAAAATGCCTTTAAATTCATCCTTTTACATGAGCTCAGTGTAAAAGGATAAGACATAGATATTCAGAAGGGGTCAGTAATTTGCCCAAGGATGCAAAGCCACATCTTGGCAAAAGTGGGATTTGACAAACAGTACTACTCTGAGGCCATGGTCTTTTTACTGCCCTTTTATTGATTTTCAATATACATAAAATTAACAACTGACATTTAATAATACATAAATCAGAAAACTTGGAATATTTACTGAATAGAAGTGATCTTTTTAAAATCTAGCTTAAGAATGTTGAAAAGTCACCTCTTATTGTCTGTTAACTAGATTGTTATTATTTGAATAGGAATAATAATGAAACCCACAAATAACAATCTCTGAATGACTCCTAATAGAATGAAAGCAAGAAAGGGAGGGAGGGAAGGAGGAGAAGGGAGGAAGGAGAAACAGAATTTTAAGGGTTGTGTTGGTTGAAAATATATCTCATCTTAAATACTGTACTTTAGGTCTTGGCTATCAGAATTATTCTTCTAGTCGTATAGTCAAAAATTTTACCTTGGGAATCAGAGGAATACAGTTATTTGAAGCTTGTGACTATAATAAAAGGCTTATAATTAGAGTATTTTGTGAATAAAATTGATTTAAGATAGCTGACACTGGGAGTACCTTGGAGTATCACTATATCAAATATATATCAATAGCCTAGTGATCTGGCTAATATTTATTGTTTTATCAGTAAACTTAAATGCACTTCAGGATGTGGAAATAACTGGCATATTAAAGGGAATCTCTGCATTATCCAAACCACACTATTGACTGACACTCGGCATTCTGTTGTCATAGAGCTATATCTCTGTACTGTGATTCCGTAGACAGAAGCTTGTGTGGGGCTGTCCAGATTCTCGGTTGCAGGGACAGCTTTTCCAGGCCCATATAAACAACTTCGGAAGAACTAGATGCTGAAAAGAAAACTTGTGTCTTCACCAGAACTCCTTCAAGTTCATAGGAAAGGATCCTCAGTGTGGTGCCTGATGTTTATGATGGGAGTGAAAGCATGTCACAGTACCACCAGCATGGTCACCTAAGTGTCAGTTGGATTCTGTTGATTGTGTGTGTCATTGTCACTTAGGCAGTGTATTTTAGTATGTGGCAAAACAAGACTGTAGTGAGTTTTAAAATCCTTGGAAATACAAGAGAAGGTATTTTACAAAAATCAAGGCAGATCTTAGAGAAACTGAACAAAGCATCAGAATTTATTTCATTTGAATAAGAATTATAAATGGATGTTATAAATGGATGTGTAGACTCATTGGGCCCCTGTACTTGTCAAGATTTTACTTAATGCTAAGGAAGGGTTGAGTTTGAACTTCTCATCTGGGAATGGATCATGTTCCTTCTAAAAACCGTGTTTCATCAGAAGTTAGACATTGTGTTATGTGCAGTTATTTCAGGATTTGAGGGAGGTAAGATTTTGAAACCACAGCTATATCATATAGCATCTATTTTATTTCAACTGTTTTGTAAAACTTTTGAATATCTGTTGGATTCTTGGACATTTTGAGAATTAGGCATTTCTGAAATAATATTAAAATTCTTAATAAAATTACCTATATCCATACTAATATAGCAAAATATTTTTATTTAGAAAATACAGCTTAAACTATTATAGTAAACTGAAAATATATGGATTTGGCCTTTTCATCCATCTCCTACGAGGGTTAGTTTATTTATATTTTTAAAGAAGACTGTAATAAAATTTGGGGCTTTATTTTAAGTGAGGATTTTGTATTTGGGGTTGTTTTTATACAGTAGCGTTTAATCCATGTGTTGCTTTTCTTCAAGTATAGTTTAAAGGAGTACATTGGAACGTGTTTTTGGAAAAGGCATGTTAATGTAGCAGAAGAAACTTCAGTGCACACTTTGGAAGACAGTTTCTGAGCATTAATTGGTAAAAGGCAATAGGAATTCAAATACTGGTAACAAGCCAATCTGCTAAAAGAATGCATGTTCTGTGTTCCCAGTCATTTCACATAAACTAACATCGTTCAAAAGAATACATTTCCATTCACTGTGCACATATGTGTAATCATTTTTAACTAAAATCAATGCCATTATCATGCCAACTAAATCCGCCATAGAATATATTAGTGGCCAGGTGGGGTATAATGTATTGTTTACAAGTAATAATGATTGAATACTAGAAATGAACAGATGGAATTTGTAGCAATTAATTATAATTTCAAGAAACACTCCAGAGTAAAGTTAATTTTATATGCAGTAGCTCTAAACTGCTATGGTAAAGCTTATATTATGGTAGCTGTTAAGTGATATTTTGTGCTAAAATGCCTTTAAACCTGGGATGGGAGGTTAATTGTTCTTATTTTCCTGAACACGATAGGACCTGATCACTGCAAAACAAACCCATGCCTCAATGGAGGTACCTGCTATCCTACAGAGACTTCCTATGTGTGCACCTGTGTACCTGGATTCAGTGGAGACCAGTGTGAACTGGGTAAGATGTTCTTGGATGAAGAGCTACAGTACTTTTACAGCAACTATAGTGGGAGAGAAGGTGTATTGTGGAATCCATCGGCATTTTCAGAGAAACCTGTATATAAATGAACTGTATATTAAGTGGGTTAACTAAACAGGTTTTTGATGGTTGAGTCAATACAATTCATACCCACCAAGGCTTTAAGAGGTCGACTCTGTCTTTTTGTAAATAACTGAAGTAATTGAAGCTTCACCACCAGACATGAGATTCTTTATGAGTTTGAGGGCTCATCAGATTCACCAGCTAGCAATGGAAACACCTTATTCAGATATTTTTGAGGTTGTTTTAGGGTTTCTAGTTTCAACAAAGAAATGTTCATGAAAGGGAATTTCAGATAAAAAAAATGGAAAAGTTTTGTGTGTGTAACATTGACCAAAATGATGTACTTACAAATGCTATACTTACACAAATTACTTTTATAAAATATGAAAACTATATTTAGCTCCCATCTTGTGTCTTATTCAGCAACCTCTCACTAAATAGAACATTTTTGCCCTCTTTGTTCATATTTACAATTTTGTTTCAGATTTTGATGAATGTCATTCTAACCCTTGTCGAAATGGAGCCACGTGTGTGGATGGTTTTAATACATTTAGGTGCCTTTGCCTTCCAAGTTACACTGGTGCTCTCTGTGAACAAGGTAAGAGCTATTATAGCCTTTTTTGGTGGTGAACATTAATGATGTTAATTTTGAGACTTGCTCTATGTGCTTTGTATTCACTGGTTACGTTAGGGTTCCTTGGATGTGAATAGCCCCAAACGTGTGAACTATACAGGGGTCTTGACTGTTTTTGTTTTGCTTATATGCTAGAGTCATATGGGCATGCTGAGTTGAATTTAAGGACATCTAGTCAATAAAGAAATACAGTTTTAAGTATTGTTTCTGGAAACACAACAGTCATTTATCATCTCATGACCTGGATGTATATCAGGGTAAGGGATTGCCTTTATTTTGTCCCTATAAGCAGTTGTGATTGTGGGGCTTATGTTCATGGTCAGCCATGTCTAGAGAAAACCTTGACACATTGTTACAGTGCATCAGTGTGGCTTGCCAAATACTTTGTAGAAGAGGTTGCACAACTGCTTCCAGGAAACTCTTCTATTAAAGAAGCATCTAGGATTCCTGAATGACAAAAAGACCCTAAACCTCACAATCATTGTGATTTGCACTTCATGGTCAAACTAATAGAGTGTTTCAGGTGGTTCATGGTAACCCTGCTTCTTTCATTGTCCAGAAACAGACTGCAGGCTCAGCACACTGAGCTTCAGGATGCCGGTTTCCTGTTCTTGAAACCGCGAAGTGGTTTGGCCTTGATAAGAATGCTCAGTGCCAAGCTTCCACTCCACAAAACAGAACGAAAATGTATTAGACACCCAGACACACTGGCCCACTCTCCCACTTTGTGGCATTAATCCAGATGTTCATTACAATGAAAGCAAGAGGAAACCCTAAGTCACATGGACTGAAGTTACTGTTTTAGGGGATGGCTAAGGGCTGCATTTTAAAGATTTTTTTTTTTTGTCTTTTAAAAATTGCATAGACAAAGTCAGCCTTGGATTTTACATATGAAGACATACCAAGCTCATATTCTTTAAAAAATGGCAATTATTTGTTATTTAATGCCTGTAGGTACCTTGTCATACATGTGGAAGAGGGCATCTTTGTTGTTGTTGTTGTTGTTATTTATTTGTTTTGGTTTGGTTTTGATTTTTTGAGCCAGGGTTTCTCTGTATCCCTGGCTGTCCTGGAACTCTCTCTGGAGACCAGGCTGCCTAGGGACTCACAGAAATCCACCTTCCTCTGCCTCTCTAGTGCTAGGATTAAAGGCATGTGTCACCACCACCTGGTCCAAGCTCATATTCTTAAAGTAAGAGTAGGAAACATATTACTTCATGAATGCAAAAAGGGAAGATACATAAATACTCCAATGCATCGAAATGATTAATAACATGCAGTTTCCAGTAAAGGGGCAAGTAAAACGAAAACAAACAATAATTTGTCCAAGTATTTATTGAGCACCTACTGTTGTCCTGACATTGCAACACTAAAAGAAATTTTCAAGCAGGACCGACTTAGTGATTTTGGTGAATCAGGTAGAACTCTTGCATTGATGTGTTATGGTTTTTCAAGCGCTAACAACTTTGTGTTGTATGGGAACTAAGGTTTAGAGAAAACAAGTGACACATTCAACGTGACATACAAGGGATATGATCTTGTGTAGCTTACTTCTAATGCCCATTGTTTTCCAACATCTTCCTGATTCTGAAGCAACCCTCAAAGACAGGCATCTTACTTGATGAGCATCTAATGGATTAAGTGGGAACAGATTGTCTGAGTGGCCTTTGGGGCTAGCCATTTCTCCCTTCAGCTATAAAAGGAGACAGATTGCTTCTTTATTAATGTCGCCGCCTAAATTTTAGGAGTCTCTGTTTCCTCTCCCAACAAGTCTAACCTTCCTGCGCTTTCTTTACTCCAGTCAGTCTTCCTGGCTGTTTACCCAGCGCAGCTGCACTCCTCTCATGCACGGCCGGGCACAGGAAGATTTTTCTGTCTTCTCTCTTAGGTCACCTAAGAACAAATATTTTCGTTATTACCAGCAGCACTGTTGTCTAAACAGATTTCTGTCCAAAGTTGCTATGACTGTGCCGTTGTTTCTTCAGCTGACCTTTGCTCTGCTCTGTAACGGATTAAGGTCCCGGTAACTTTGAACAGGGGACATATTTTGGTAACTAATCACAAACTCTAGAAAGGGCTTTTGGAACAGTAGAGAAACAGTCACAGACAAATCGCCACGAACCTAACGATAAAAGCTTGCTGGGCGAGGGGTTGAGGTGTTGACAATGTCTTAAGTCTTAACAGCTTTGTGTTGGAAGTGCAGAAAGTGTCACTTACACAGCATACAAGACAGATGTTTATGGATTGGTTTTAAGTGACTGTTCAGCCCCTGCAGTCATGAACAGGAGTTGCCAGGTCTTTGAGTTGTCACTTTTGTGCTGTAAGCTTCCTGAGGCATAAGATGCCCGTCTATAATGATGAGTGATGTTTAAGACATTATCATTTCCGGGGCCTGTGACAGAATGGCTGTCCAGCATGTACAAAGCTCTGTGTTTGACACCAAATGTTGAGGATGGGGTGGGGTAGGGACCAATTAAAAGTACTTCAAAGTGTTGCCTTTAAAAAAATAAGAGAAAACAATAGCAACAAATGAGATTAGTGTTATTTTTAGATAAAGTTGGAAAAACACCAAGAGCCATTTGTTTTTCAAGATAGGGTTTCTCTGTGTAACAGCCTTGTCTGTCCTGGAACTCACTCTGAAGACCAGGCTGGTCTCGAACACACAGAGATCTGCCTGCCTCTGCCTCCCTAGTGCTGGGCTTAAATGTATGTGCCACCACTGCTGGTCCCAAGAGAAAGTCTTAAATGTCCCATGGAAATAATATGCTTGGAGATGCTCCCCAATTATATACTCCTTCATCATGCAGCTGTTGAATTCATGAATACTAGAAATTAAAGAGATAGAAATGGATTTTGCCTTTACAAAAACAAAGGTGCCTTAATGCTACTAAGGAGTCTTCTTATGAATATTTATAGCTGTACAACAACTATGGTTTAGCACGGATTTGTGGGATAGAAATTTATAATCCTACCTACTTGTGAGGTTGAGATTGAACAAGAGGATTGCAAGCTCAGGGGCTGTTTGGCTAATTGAATGAGATGCCACTTCAGAAAAAGACATAAATGAAGGACTAAAGCTAGAGCTCAATGGTAGAGTGCTTGCCTAGTATGGGTATAGCCCTAGGTTCAATTCCTAGTTCCACAATTTTAAAAAGGGCTACATTTTACTTAGTATAGGTGGCAAATTCTCCCATCTTGGTATTTATACAAACAGCCCATGTTCTTATAAGAGTCTACACACTTATTAACTAAGGAACACATTTGTCTATTCTGTTGTATCTCCCTGATGCTAACTGCTTAATAAAGGGAAGGTATTTAATTAATTTTCAATTGTGGAGGAAGAATAACTCCATCTATCTGGTCTCTGATGGGGCCTATTGCCACACCATGATACTGTGGAGAAGCAGAAAGCAAACCAATCTTGTGCAGAGGGAAGAGATCAAAATAGAGGCAAACCAGAGACCTAAGAGGGCAGACTTGCTCTTTTTATAACCACCTACTCTGAGACCTGAAATAGCATCAGTGTCACCAGGTGGGGACCCTTCCCCTCATTACCTTCCACTTAGACTCATCTCTTGCTCTACTACGCCTTGATATCCCAGTAACAGGGACTAGTCTCCAGCACATGGACCACTAGAGGGGAATCCACAACCAAACTGTGAATGGCATGGCCAAGCATTTGAATTTTATGGTTTTGCTTTTGTGGAAAACAAAAACATAGTTATTGATATTCCATTTTAATGACAAAAGGCAGAAAAAGAAAGCAAAACTGCCATCATTCAATTTATAGAAGATGAGAAAGTATGCACAGATTTATTTCCTGATGTATTAATCAGAAAGTTGGATCCTAACTCTGCATGCCTTATCTTAATACAAACGGTAAATTGCAAGGTTAAGGCAAGATGGGCAGTTATGATCTTGCAGAATCGATTTGTCAGGAAAAGTGTTGTAAGTGGTTTCCAACCATCTTCCTGTATAGGGAACCTCATACAGGGAAATTGATTTCTTCCCCAACTTTTCCCCCATTATTGAATTCTTTCAATTGAACTTTTCCCAAAGGCAAACTAATCTCCAATGGACCAAAATTGTCTTCATTTATACTGAATCACATAACTGTGTGATGCATCCTTCCTATGAGAATTGGCAAGGTCCAAACAGTATCACAAGGCAATCTTCCAGGGTACATTATCCAAAACAGTAACTTGGCTGCTGCCTGCAACTAAACAGCAGACCTAATGGCCTAAATTGGACCTGTGACTGTTAGCAGAGATGAGCCACATTCCTTGCAAAATTATGACTGGAAATACTGAAATCAGGGGAAAAGTTATATCTCTCAGGATGAAAGTTTCAAAACTATTCAAAAAGGAATAAATTAGACTAGAGTCATAGAATTGAGTTCCAATGGGGCTACCATGGGAAGCATACAAAACAAGCAGTGGGATTTGATATTTTTTTAATCTATCAATTGGTAAAATGAAGGAAAAGTAAATTTTATTTAGAGATGAGGAAGGTCCTCCTTGGTGTTTAAAATTTTGTTAATGCTGTAGTTCTGTTAGTTTTTACATATAACTATTTCAATGTATTTATGAGATATATTTTAAGAAGATCAAAATTATTTCAGTATAGGTAATTGAAGGACTTTCTTGTTCTACTTTTAATTAACTCAAAAGCTTGGTGTATTTGCATAAGAACTTCCCAGTTGTTCCTCTTTGGAGGAAGAAAGAACACATGCCAAACTATGTCCCCAAAGCTGCCTGCTCAGGATATTTCTTCTTTTCATAAATCACACATGACAAGGGCTCGTAGCCTCCCAGAGAGCTCTCTCGGGGGAGTGAACTCTTCCAGAACTTTTGAAGTCATTGTTCAAAAAAATTGTTCATGATCCAGTTAGCAGGGATCTTCATCCCATCCCTAGTGAATGTGTAGAAAAAGTTGCGTTGAAGAGAAATTAGTGGCAACTACTTCACAAGTAAGTCAGTTACTCTGTAGCCTGAGAGGCTTTGGGCTGATTGTCCTGCTGGTTTTGTCTCCTTCAAAAACTGTCTTTAATTAAGGAAATTGCAATTAGATAGTGCCTTTTCAGTCTGAAGATGTATAATGGCCCACTTCACTGGGATCATTTGGAGTTACTTTACAATGATGTCTTTGTCACTGTGACCCAAACTTGTGAATCATTTACTTCAGGGACATTGCATAGATATTAGTTTGCGTGTCCTATGAACACAGGGACTGAGGAGTCAAGTTCAAATGACGTAGGTAAATTTAATAAATCTTGACCTCGTTTCTTCCCAGACACCGAGACTTGTGACTACGGCTGGCATAAATTCCAAGGACAGTGCTACAAGTACTTTGCTCACCGCCGCACATGGGATGCTGCTGAAAGGGAGTGTCGTCTGCAGGGTGCCCATCTCACAAGCATCCTGTCTCACGAGGAACAAATATTTGTGAATCGTATGTACCAGATGTGAATTGTTTGGAACTTCATTCATCCTTCGTCTACCTTAGCTTTCTTTGGATCCCAATTTAAAATAGTTCTCTATGCCTTCATTCAGTTTAGGAAGTCTCTCACCTGTGAACTATATAAAATAACATATGTTACCATCTCCACTTCAGATGTTGTACAAGAAATGGTCACTTAACACACCAACACATTGAGTGGAGCAGCAGAGTATGGGTTAAATCATAAGCAATTTCTATATCATCTCACCCCCCCCATACAAAGGGTTAGTTCTCATGGCTCTGTATAGTTCTGTATGGTTATTTTTCACCACCAGCTTTTCTATGTTGAATATTTTCATGTGTTATCAAAGTTAAGTATAAGTTGCTTTGAGTTTTTTCCTGTAAATTAAAAATAGAGTTGTGAATAACACTCTAATCGTAACTCTGTGCACACCAGTTCTCCTCCAACAGTCTCCTAACTTTAGAAAGTGAGCTGCCCATTAAGATCACAGGCAGGGGAAGACCAAAAGCTGGTGCTGGTAAAACTTAGGATTAGGGTTGTTTCTTAACATCTTAACTCATAGCAAAGAAGGGGAAGCTAGTTTTTATATAGCATGGGGGGGTAGAACTACTTTGCTCATGAAGCAGAGTTTGATGTGCAAATAAATGCATCCCCCTGATACCTTCTATCTTTCTGGGATAGTTTTGTTCATTTGTAATCTGGGTAGAGTTCACTGAACTTTATTGCATGCTATTTTAGCTAGTGACTTGTGTCATAATAAATACCATTGAAAGTAATTTTTTAGAACTATTTGGCTTTTGTGTTCATTGTTTTGAGGAAAGAGATATGTTTTTTCCAAGTGAGAGAAGAATATGTAAGATCTGGTGTATTTCGGTGGAGCACTAAACCTTTGCCAGTGGCATAGATTAACAAGAAAAGTATGTGGATAGTTCCTATCATGAGAAAAGATAGAAAAATATTTAGTTACAGGCAATTTCTAGGGAAATAATTACCTCTTATATATTAATTTTTTCATAGTGCTTAAAAATGTGCTTGTTAATTTAATGCTCATTGGGTAGAAGAACAATCAATTAGGAAAGATGTTTTTATGAACAGTTAAGTTCAAAAAAACAGAGAAGAGGATGTATAACTCACTCTGAAAATAGTTTTCTTTGAAATAGTGCTTGGAACAGTGTTAAAACACCTGTCTTATGTCTCTTAGGTGTGGGTCATGATTACCAGTGGATAGGCCTCAATGACAAGATGTTTGAACATGACTTCCGTTGGACTGATGGCAGCGCACTGGTAAGATGCTGATGAAAATGAAAGAATCAAGGTACTATGCACGGGTCTTATGCTGTCGAGTGATGAATAGGCTGGTTAGTATCATTCCTTGAAACAATTAAAGACTATGTTTTTACAGCTTATGTGTCTAGTCATCAGTGCTGTCTCCCAGAGCTGCTTGCTGTACTCCTAAAGAAGAGTAGAGCAGACTCTGTGGAAAGGGCCAGTAAGACAATGAAAATTGTGCTGGGCCATCCTTTCTGATGATTATCTTTGCTTTTTATGCTTCAAAGCAAGAAGGGAAAGATTAAATGCAAGATGGACAAGACAGTCTTTCACAAGTACTTTTCTCTTCTTACACAATTGCAATGAAATTCCTCTGTAAAATGTGGCTAATTTTTATGTAGGAAAATGGTTCAATTTATAATGTAAGGAAATTTACCATGTTGTATAAACCTCATTCCACTTCAGTATTGCTGAATAGTCTTTATTTATTATTTCTGTTTCTTAACATAAGAAACATAACTTGGAAAGTCTGGCAACAACTCTGCTTGAAGTTCACTAGTTTTTGGTTTTCTTTACTTTTTGTTTTGTTTCTTTTGATTTTTAGGAAGGGGCTCACCCATGTAGGCCAGACTGGCCTGCTGCTCAACACGTAGTACAATATGTGTTCTTAAAACTGAATGGACAAGAGAACCCAGTGTTTTAGTATTAGCCCAGCTGTGATTTACCACACTGGGCTTGCTTGGTGCCACTGTTCATAACAGCCACTTGGGGAGAATAATTAAACACCTTTCCCAGGCCTCAGTCCAGATGTATTCCAGCAAATCCTCCAACAGCTGTAGTTCTCAGGCAATCCCTGAGTGTTTCTGAAATGCTGTCAGAAATGAGATCCACTTAGTTGGACAGTAAGTGTAAATTAAGTTCTAAATTTGATAACAGGAAAAACTTATAAATAATCTTTAAGTTTTAGGTTTAAGCTCTTGCATAAGAATTACGGAAGTGATTCAGTTTTGCTTACTACCTGTTAGTCATCTGGATTCATATTTTGGCAATAGGTGAGGGTCTTTCTGCAAATCATCCTGAACTCCTCTCTACTAAAAAAACTCTGCTCTGCCCCAAGATTCCTGTCTGGACTCTTAGGGCTCACCACAAATCTGGGTTCAGATTTCCACTGAGTTCACAATATGGGCCCAGATATCCATTGAGTTCACCTGTTAGTCAAGTTCTTTGTCAAGAGTCACAAAAATGCTGTTATGAGGCCAGTACTTGAGCTCAGGACTGTGTCCATGGTGAGTGTTTCTTCTTGCTCATCTCCTCTTGATGTGCATAAACAGCATACTTTATTATGATTTATTTGAGTAACAGTTCCCTCTCTATCATCATTATGTCTGGGAAATTAATACTCCTTGTCATTGATGCTCATAAGAAGGCTTTTGGCAAGAAAATTTTTTTTTTCTGAGATGGAAATGCATCCTAGAAAATCTCAGGGAGGGAAGATTACTTTGGCTCCATGGTTTCAGGGATCTCAGCCAGTTGTGCAAGGAAGGCAGTGAAGAATATTTGATAATGGAAGGAGATAGATGGTTCCTTTCAACATTACAGCTTGAGAAGCAGAAGGTGGGTGACTGAATGCAGGGACCAGGCAATTAATATCCTGCTAAGTTCCACCCCTAGACATCCACTCTGCCAGGTGGGTCCCATTTGCTAAAGACTCCCCAACTCCACACAAATAATGGCATTGCTGACTAGCAAGCAGTCAAACCATGAACCTGTGTGGGCCATTTCAGAATCCAACACTAACATGATGAAATGGAACAGGCACCAGGCTTTGATGCTTCCACTTATTGAATTCTGGTGCAATAAACAGAGTTCTACAGTTGACTCTGCTCAAGTCTAACTACTACAGATCTGCCCTTCTCACACCTCAGAGAGACATGCAGTTTCTTGTGTGCTGTTGTCTTTAGAACAGAAAATGAATGCTGAAGACTCAGTTGGTCAAGTTGGCTTGGCACTCACTACATGTGTCATATGGATCTGGGCCACTACTTACCCCTCCCTTGCTTTGATTTCCTATCATATCTAGAATAAAGCTTATTGCTTAGCCCCAGATTGATCTCTTTCTGGCAAATATATGGAGTATGTAAAAACATCTTAGGGAGTGTACTTCTCTGACACATACATATAGGTCAACTTGAGATATCATAATTCTACTCCCCAAGAAAGCAAAGCAAGTCACTTTTGTTTTTGTTTGCTACTTTTGTATTTATTTATTAAACATTCTTTGACAACTTCATATATTATGTACTGCTATAGTGTACTTAACAATCTTACTCTTGCCCTCTCTTTTCTTCCTGTCTCTCTCCTATCACCTCCCCTCCTCCCCACAAATGCATTTCTCACATTCACACCTGTTTTAAACCTTGTTTTGTTACCTATTGGGTTTAACTAGAGTGACCTGTGTAACCCTGGGTTTAGTCCTATGCATTGGAACATGATGTGCTCACCACTGGTGGGTGAGATATAGATGCAGTCTCTGCCCTTTCAGTGCTCTCATCACAACCCAAGAGAGTGAGACAGTCCTTCCTCTTCCTCTTCCTCTTCCTCTTCCTCTTCCTCTTCCTTGTAAGGGGTCACACTTGCATGCTTGAAGCCACACCCCTAGGATGTGGCCACCACTGCAAGTTCACTGTCAAAGATGTCACTACAGTCAGTAGCCAACTGTTCATCAGGGAGGAATAGAGCCTGGATTCCCTTCTGGATGCATGCATGACTGTCGGCAGGCCCAGGCTTGTGAAAGCCCAGTGCAGGCAAACATAGCTGCTGTGAGATCACACATGTGATGGCTGTGCCATGCTCAGAAAATAGTAGTTTGCAACTGTCTTGCTATATCCTCTGTCTCTGGTCATCTTTCTGCCCCATCTGTGCCCATAAATTTTTTATATAGGCAGAAAAATCTTGTAAAGTTAATCTAATTATAATTTCTAAAATAAAGATTGACTCTAAATTCAGTAAAATAGTGAACATTGTACATTTCCAATAGTGAAATGTCTGCTTGGGGTATTTTTATGGGAAGACAGAACAATGTAACAAAATAGCCACAGAACACCAATTGGAACCTTAGTCTTAATAATTCACATGTATCATTAAGGACTTAGGACCAAGCCTTTACTAAAATAAATCATGTAAACAAGCAAGGTTTATCAAAGAAATGACAAAAGAACATCCAGAAGAAACTGATGCACCCTTGGTGTCTTCTTAATTCAGTCTCTGTGTCAAACAATTAAAAATATTCTAAGGAGTGTCCCCTAACTTTGAACATTTGGGAGCAGAAGAGCACAGCGGCTCACCAGCCTGCCTATGTTTGACTGATCTCTGGCCCACTTTTCTTCTTTTGTATCCACCCTTTCCTCTGTCTTCTTCCTTTCTGAAATGGCCTAGGTGACTACTGAACTCCCTCCTAGTTCTCTGTATAGTCCCCATCTCCTTAACAGGTTCCATGTGTGCAGGCTCTGGCTGAAATAGCTTGTTTTTGTTTCACTGTTTATTCCTTGGTTTTCTGCTTTTGAACATGCCCCTTATAGTGACTAAGCCTTCATCTGGGAAAATGGTACCTGATTACACTTGGCAAAAGTGAATTAGTTAAGTGTAATTTTCATGGACTTGGTTTCTGTATTCAACTCCTTTCTTGCCTCTTCTACTCTCTCACAATTTTTTTTGTTTGACAGTTACTAGAGTTATCCAAATTGGGAGGTAGAGTAGTATCAAAAGAAAAACAACATTTGCTATTTACCTGATTCTATCTTTTGCTATTTGGTATTCATAATTGATCTGTATAATCCAGGGGGGAGAAAAAGCTTTAATTAGATCTCAGTGTCAGTGATTTCATTTATTGAAACCATTAAACTTTGTTTCCAATAAGCTCACAGTATAATCATATCATATTTAACATGATAGTACTTCATAGCTAGACTAATTCAATTCATGTGCTTGTGCTAAGTTAGAGATTCTGTTTGCCAAGTCATCAGAATTGCCTGTATTTCACACATTTTGATTGATCTTTACATTTCACTGGCCTCTGAATTAAAATGTTGATAATGCTGCTAAAAAAGCCAAATTCTTGTTTGGGTTAGAATGGAGAAATCTTTTCATTATGTATTTGGGGTATTTGCCCAATGAATTTCACAAGAGTATACTATACCTCTTTATTAGTAACCCTGACAAATGACTTTGTCTAAGAATTCCTTTCCTTGTCAACTTAGTTATATGTTCAAAGCCACTAAGTTAAATTATCCAAGTTAAACATACATTGAAGACTGAGAATGTGAACAAACTTTTCTTATCAGGCATTTATACTGTGAGATGACTTTGAGGTTGTTTCTTTAATCAATTGTTAAATGAATGACTTGTCTCAAGTGTTTTCCCGGCTGCCACTGACATTCATTCTCCCCAGACACTGAACTCTTTTTATGCCTTTCTTTCTTTCTTTCTTTCTTTCTTTCTTTCTTTCTTTCTTTCTTTCTTTCCTCTCTCTCTCTCTCTCTCTCTCTCTCTCTCTTTCTTTCTTTTCCCTTTTGTTGAAGATAGATCGTCTTTCTAACATTATGTATCCTGATTACAGTTTTCTCTATCTCTACTCCTCCCAATTCCTCCCTACCTCCCCTCCCATTCTGAGCCAGCCCCTTTTCTGTCTTTCATCAGAAAACAAACAGGCTTCTATGGGATAATAATAATAAAGTAGAATAAGATGTAATGAAAACTAACACATTGGAGTTAGACAAAACAAACAAACAGAAGGAAAGGAGCCCAAGAGAAGGTACAAGAAACAGAGACTCACTCATGCTTACACTCAGGAATCTCATAAAAACACTACTACTGGAAGCTGTAATAGATACACAAAAGACCTGTAGGGTAAAAAAGTTAATTATAAGAAATATAAACAAGATATAAAATAATAAGATAAAATTGTAATAACACCAACACATACATACACACACACACACACACACACAGAGAGAGAG